TCTTTTACCCTATCTTGACACCCTGGCAGATTCAACTTTCCAACAAGATAATGCCCAAGCACATGTTGCAAGAGTCACAATAGACTTCTTTCAACATAATGATGTCACATTGTTACCATGGCCACCAAGATCTCCCGACTTATCCCCAACTGAGCACGTGTGGGATATGATGGGTAGGAGATTGCTCAATTTGCAACGTCCTCAGACTCTAGAAGCACTTCGAGAGGAGTTGGTGGTTGCCTGGAATGAGATACCACAGGAGGACATTGACCACCTGATCAGAAGCATGCCTAGGCGCGTTGGAGAATGCGTAGCACATCAGGGTGCATCCACACATTATTAAAGGTCAAAGGGCTTTAAAGCAGTGCAATCATTTTGAAATTTTTATCATTTACTTATTATGTTTCATTAAGTACTTATACAAAATTTTATTAAAATAAAACCATTTAAACTGGGTGTTCGGATTTATATGTCACTTAGTATATATTGAAGTCTCCTACATTTGTGCAATTCCTGTAATAATGTTTTTCACATATACTTTCAAAACATTCAATAAATCGTTTGACGCTTCCACTTGGAGTTTTTTTTCAGATCTTCACGCGTTTTTCGCCTAAAAGGAAGCATTCTGAAGAATTATTTTGATCTTTAAAGGTCGTCAATTCTAAAGGATTTGTCTAAAGATTCGGTATATTTCTTGCCTTCCCGAACAAAAGATTCCACTGGGACCAGAACAATCCTATGATCAGTTTCTGAGAAATAGGCGGATAAAGTTTGCCTGATTTGCGAAAACGGGAATGTGTCGATTTTATAGTTCCGAGACCAAAAACTCGGAGAATCAGCATACTAAAAGAAGTATTCAGCTAAAACACCTTGTAGGACGGTGTTAGGAGGCATCATGTTGATCGTGACCATGATCCTTACGAGGTCGGTTTCAAGGACAGTGGACTTCCATGCTCATGCAAGGATCGGTCCGGCTGCTCTAGAAATCGGAAAACTCAATAGGACAGGGGCATTTTTATTTATTTAAGAAAAAATCGTGCCATCTGATTTGCTTAGAAACGATTGAGGATTCAACAATTATTTTTATTTTAAGCGAAATATGTGCTGCTCTACCAGAATAAGCAGGTGAAATTACGTATGAACGCGACTGGCGGAAATTTATCTAGTGGTGGTGCGATTTATTTTTGAAACTTTACCACCGAAGCTAGATGTTTAGGACATGTGAACTTTTCATTTTAAAATGGATCGAAAAATCGCCCATTCATATATTGGAGCTAAGTTAGCCCTTTACTGCCCTTAATACCACTGCTAAATTTAAACAACACCGACTCAAAGTTTATCGAGATATTTTTGAAAAACCGATATTTAAAAAAAAGTTTGACGCTGATGTATCTTGAAAATGAAGTATTTCTGGACTCATGTTTTTATAAACTTTTCATCTTAAAATTATCCAAAGAAACACGTCCTGAGGTTTGAAAGTTTATGAAATAAGAGACAATAATAACGTATCTATCTACCACGTATCGAATTTTATGAATTAATCATTAGAATAGGAAACGAAGCTCCAATAACATAAACTTTAATTGCAGGTTTTCGAAAATGGCAGATTTTTCGAAACATAAAAGAGTGGCACACGACACAGGTGAAGGCTGATTACGTTACGATAACTGGAACAGCATTTCAGGGTGGTGATGAAAAATATGATAAAAGTGCCGTTGAATGACACGCGAACACAGAAATAATCAAGAATTCAATGTGAAAAGGTCGGTTCATTCGCAAACATTGAGGTAGAGTAGGAAAAAGATGAACAATGATATCAGTACAGCATAACAAAAATTCTACCGATGGTGTTTCCATTGTAACCCACATCGGGAATTGTCCGCCGTAACGAAAATGATTTATGTGCTTTTTTTACTTAATTCTAGTCTTTAATTTATAAATGAAATGTAAAAATGTAAAGAATGTATAAGTTTGTTGTAGATGTAAGAAACTGTTTTCTATGTTATAAAATAAATTATTTATCAGAATATAGATTGTTTATCGTTCTTTACCCTTCTGCGTGGACGTACCCAGTCGGGGGGGGGGGGGACACCAAGCCGCGCATGCGTAGGTGATTACGGGTCTTTGACCATTTTATACAACCGAATCTTGTTGATAAAACTTAATTTTGAATTTCTGCACAACAGAGGATAAAGCTGCCGAAAGGTAATTTGGAATTTTGTTTTCAAAATATCAGTATGTTTCTGCCAGGTCAACCCCTTGTCAATGATGACTCCAAGATACCTGACAGATGATAAATGCACTTTGCCTATTTTACTTAGCCATTAAATGGCTGCGGAAAGATCGCCTGCAATGCCTGAGTGGCGCTAATCATAATCAGGGGACTTATTATTTGTTGAAGGGACCTAAGCGCAGTTGCTAGGTCCACATTCTGCGTGTTCAAAGTGGGTTGAACAGAGGGGGCAGCCGAAGATGTTGAGACGGCTGCTTCCGCGTATGACTTGCTGCGTCTTTGCGTTATGACTTCCAGATTTCGCTTGGGGGTGAATCTGCAAATGGGACTGTTAGCTTTTCCGACGAATGTTCCTTTTTCTTAAATGGCGTAATAAATCGTCATAACTGCCGATATTGGTCCGATTCTAATCCCAGAATTTATTTATCATAAGGTTCATACACAGCAGCCACAAAAATTAAATGTTTGGGCTGGTATTTTTGGCAATCATTTAGTTGGTCCTTTTTTCTTACCTGGAAATTTGAACGCTGAAATGTATTTGGAATTACTGGAAGACGCTATAGATCTTGCATTAACAGCCATAATTGAAAATCAGAATGATCGGCGGTACATTGCGAATAGGTTGATGTTCCAACAGGATGGTGCCCCACCACATTACGCATTACGCGTTCGACAATATTTAGATCAGACGTGTCCAGATCGATGGATTGGTAGAAGAGGTGCCATTGAATGGCCCCCAAGATCGCCAGATTTATCGCCTTTGGATTTCCTTATGTGGGGTCATTTAAAAAGCAAAATCTATGCTACTCAGCCAACATCATTAGAAGACCTGCGTCAAAGAATTGTGAATGAGTACCTTCAAATTACTCCTGAAATATTGCAAAATGTGCGGCAACGTTTTGAGCAAAATCTTTATTATTGCATGGAGAGTCATGGTGGCCATTTTCAACATTTACTTGCCTAACGGGTCAGTTCATTCTTCATTTTTAAACTACTTTGCTGCCAAATGTATTGATGTCCACTAATGATGATGTATTAGCTTTATTTAAGCTTTAAAACAATAAATCTTCAAAACTACTGAACTGAAGTACATTAATTTTATACTTGTATCATAATATTTTGAATTGAAAGACCTTTAAAATATCACTCGACCCCCCGTTCCATTTAAGATTTTGGGTGTGGTGTCACCCCCGCTTAGGGGGCTGCACGTGCTAACGTGATTTTTTGCCAAACTTGTGTCCCCCTCGAAAATAAAATCGACGGGTCTGAGCGTTTTTCCAAAATAAAACTGAGCTGCCAGTGAATGCGTCTGTTCCGTTTTCGATGCGCCACCCTATGTAATAGGGGAATTTTGGAGATTTTTCAGTCATAATACTGGTACAATTAGACAGACACCTTTCAAAATTTCTTCAATATCTAGTTACCGTTACTCTATGGCAATCAGACCTATTAGCAAAAACTGTAAATATTTTTTTGTTTAATAGAGGGCAAGGAGTTCCTCGCAGTCACAACAAAAGATCTACCTACTGTTATATATGAAAACCGTTCTTTCATTTGAAGGTTTTTCACGATTACACTACTTCTCTGCCCTATTCGCTTGACTGAAAAAATGATGACCTTATATGAATTTTGAAAGAGATGTACGGCCAAAAATTTTAAAAAGCGTATAACTTAGAAATTATGAATTTTAGATCTAGGTAGGTATATAAGATTTGTGGTATAGCAAAAATTCGTCATATATGATATGCTCAACATGTTCTGCCAGATTTCTAACCGAATCCTCAAATCAAACAACTGCATAAGTATACATAGGTAAACTTTGTTTTCATATTTAATCCGTCATATTTTCAGTACAGTTCAACAAACTGTATGGTGCAGAAGCGGAAAATTAATACAGTACGAACAAGTAACAACGACCTTTACTGAATTGAACGAAACGAACTGGCAATCCAACCGTTTTTGCGTAGGATCTCATCAGAAAGCGGTCTTGCCTTATACGACACAACACAACGAAAGACGGATTCGTTGAAAATTTCTTCGACCTTCCACGACGTCGGTGTGTGACTCATCGAGTAACGGCTTTTTATAAGCGCCTGGATTTTGTCCTACAAAAACAGTCAATAATGTAATGTAATATCTAGGATATACCTACATGCATTTTCTTTATCTAGGATGATTTCGTTTTATAAAGATATAGACACTGGGTATTTGCGTAAAGTCTATGAAAATGCTGCTTGCTTGCAATTCCAAAAAAATGTGCCATAGTCTGGTAAGCCGTGGTTTGGAACGTAAGGTCTCGAAAATCAGATGACGTTGCAGAGCAACACGAACCTTAGCATCTTTTATGACAGTTTGCGATAATCTTCGCGTTTTGCGCGGCACCTTTTGGTTGATAAGAGACGGTAAAGTCCACAACCAGTGACATTATTCATAATTATTGGACCCTGATTAATTATAGTTTGCTGTTCCGTTTAGCGCCTACAACGTTTATAAATAAAAATTCTTACTATTTCAATAAATCAAAAACAATAAACTAGTCTTCCCAGACTAAGTAGGTAATTATCTCTTTATTAATATAAATATGCTGATCGTCTATATAACAGAATAACTTTTCTTACTGAGAGATATTTCCAAAAAGATGCAATTTTGTATTTTCTTAAATTCACCTTGTATAACTTATTTTAAGTGTAAAGTTAACGTCCTTTCGTACATAATACTCACTGATACTTCACATCCATAATCTATAAATACTGAATAGTTGCCAGGAATGATTCAACCGTATTTCCCGAAATAGTTTGCTGCAGACAAGCCTAAAAATAAAATTCTTTGTCCATACACAGATGAATTCGAAAATTTAAATTTGGAACTACTCTTTGTTGTTTCCACCAATAGCTTGACAAGAGTTTGAATGCGGCAGCCAATCAAATAGCTGCACACCCCACGTGACAGAAATAGCGTCCGTTGTTTATAAAAACCGAGTAGAGAGTCTGGGAGAAGAGCATTTCGTGATATTTTCAACGGAAACAAAGCAAAGAACTTTACGTGCGATATTTCTAGAGTTCCGTTTCTTGTGTGTTTTAGTGATTTTATTAGTTTCATTAAGAATAAATCGGTGAGTAACTTCTTTTGGCAGTACTTCTGTTGACAGTTTGACGATACTCTCACAAAGGGCATTGACAAAAACTGGGATAGCTTTTCTATTTGATAGTATAATAAGTGAATAATTTATCAGAACAGTTCTTATTACTTACGCTAAAATATTGACTCTATTGTGTATTTTTACCATTTCTCGCCTAGAGAATTACCTGTTGAATCTGATTATCCTAGGTTAGGAAAAGGGTCGCCATGTTAGGTCCATGTGTCCATTTTATTCATTGCCAATCGAATAAAATCTTTCCTAATTGGGACAAAACTTCATATTTCCACTATTATTCTTAACCTGCCTCTTTTGTCTAACTTGTATTAAACATGTAATTCATTATTAGTAATTGTGGAATCCAAAAAAAAAAAATTGTACATACATACACCTACCTACCTTCCTATTTGTTATTAGTAAAATGCTGTTGCGTTCAATGTTCAATCATTAGTCGATTTCAGTCAATCAAATTACTTATTTTATTCATAAGTACTTAAAATTTTGTAAAAAGCAGATGTTAAAAATCCACCTATTTCAAATGTAGCTTTACGAATATTGGAACTGCAAGCCTCTTTAGCTCAGTGGCAGAGCACTGGTCTTGTAAACCAGGGGTCGTGAGTTCAATCCTCACAGGAGGCAGAGTTTGTCCTATACTTTTTTTATCTTATCATGCGCTATATCGTGTTCATTATTGAATATTTTTCCATGTTGATCTTTTTTTCAGGCAAAAATGGCTGATTTAGCTGCAAAGATACCCACATCTGTTGACCGTAAGTTATTGTAATCATTATTTATTGCATTAAACTGTGTTGTGCTACTATAATAGTACAATAATATATTAGCTTTTTTTATTAGCATCATTATTACACCAAAATAGTAAATACCAAAGATCCACCAGGCAGTGGTAGTTGCTACCAAACTCATACGTAATCAAATTATCTTTTGGTTGGTCAGTCATGTTGACTGATAGCAGCTGGTCTAAAGCAAATTCTGAACTAAAAGATATTGTCAGAAAATTAGGGACATCCTAAAAATATTCAGCATTTATTTATTAGGTTGCTCATGCTGGTGTGCTATATACATGCTCTTTATAGTAAAATAAATGTTCACAAAACACATCCTAACAAGTAATTTCACTTGAAAAACTATGCATCTAAATTCACTAGAATTTTTTGCATTTATTTTTTTGATTGTGATTCTGATCACTGATATTCATTTTGTTTCGAAACGATATCATGAAATTGTATGAAATTTCAGAGTGTTTTTTATACTCTTTTAATGACCATCTGCGTAATGTTTATGAAACAGAGCGTTAGCATTCAGTTTGAATAAGAAAACTTCCCATTCATTTCTTCAGAAATTATGTGAAAACTGACTATTTCATTTCTAAAAAAATGACCGAATGACCCTTTTATTTCTCAAGGAGTGGAGGGGTTACTTTTTAATTTTGTGCTTACTGTGATATATTATTACCTGGCACAAAATGTTCAGAAAATAAATATCGTCGTGGTATGAATCAGCCTCTTTCAGTCTAAAAAAGACTAATGCGTCTATTACAGTCTTTGCACGTCTTCAATGCTTATAACCATAAACTTTCACAATACTGTGCATTTTTTTATTTGATGACATATCTATTTTCTTCATGTTTTTGAATGTATTATCAATTGCATAGAAGATGAAGAGTGGGAGCTTCTGGCAAAGATACAATGAATGCAATCCATGAACTGGACCTTTTTCCTTAATTTGTTATGGTGGCATTCAGTATTGAGCATAATGAATACTGTGCAAGTTCAAATGCAAAAGAAAGAAATAGATGATGGCTCAAAGGTGCATGTCAGCAGCATTAAAAAAATTAAAAGATTTGAGGAGCGAAAGCACATACGATAATTTTGTTCTGAAGGCTAAGAATAAATGGGAAGTGAGATGGAATGGGAAAATCCTGGTTTTCCCTTGGTCAGATAGAGAAAAATAAAAAAAAATCGTCACTGGAAAGTTTTGGATTCAATGAGTAACGAATTTCAAGAACGTGCTGAAGGATTTCAACTTTAAAAATTGGTGGTCGAACTAAATTCGCGTGGGGGGGTCATGACCCCCATGACCCGCCCCTGGATCCGCGGCTGCTTTCTAAAAAAAATGGACCACTATAAATAGGAGACTGTACATTTGAATTTCTTGCTAGTTCATTAGAATAGAAGATGTACATCGAAATTTTGTCTTAAATGGTCATACCATATTTTGGACTTCCTTGGTAGCTTTGTTCCCGGTAACTATTTGTTTGTTGGAGAAATCGGGAGGGTAGATTCCAGATGTGATGGCGGAACGCCCCATTTTCTATCTAAACTTCGTCCTGTCGTTGTCGACTGACGTTGCAAGAAACAGATAAATAATTTCGTTTGTACCTGAAATGAAATTGGCGTATGTTTCACCACCGGTGCCAGTCCGCCGTCGCCGCATAGTAGAAGGTGTAATGGAAAATCAATACGGCCCCCCTTGCCCCTATTTTCCCCATTCTCACCCTACCGCTGCTTCTTCGACCCTCGTCTTCCACTGCTGCGTGCTCGAGTGTGTTTTCTGTTGCAAGAGCAAGAAATGTCTCGTGTTTTCGCTTTGCAAATCGCACAGAGAACTACATAGGAGACGTGCTCACATCTATAGTAAATTCCGGTCAAATATTTCAGGCAAGCTCACAGAAGGCTACTTCTTGACTTGTTGATACGCAATATTTTATAATACCGATTCATTAATATGCAAATGTTTTTCTGTCATTCTTTATGGGTATACACTTGTTTTTACCATGCACGTTATAGTGTCGGCAAATAAGGAGTTGGATTTATATCGCTAACAGAGAAATTCGGTCATACACAACAAATAACGAACAGCAAAGAAAAAAAGACGCGTGTAATTGAAGTTAACGCAGAGTGGGGAGACAACTCGACAAATAAAACTTGGTTATCAGAATAAAAAATGATGTCATAGGAATGCCTGATGTGGACAGTGACCAAGCGTCTATTTGCTAGATTTCCTAAGAGAAAACTGCTGCCGAGTATTAATCGTTTCACTGTTTGTTGTTGGAGCTACAGAACGCTGTATGATTATCTTGCTTTAAGATGTATGGTACGGAAGGCTTGTTATATTTAATAAAGAACTATTAAATTCATATAGCTAATGGTATTATATATTGTATATTTCATCATTTTTTGTCATCCCCTTGCCACACATTTTCCCTTGTTTCCTATGTGCAGTGTGTTAGGGAAATAATATTCGTAACTTTAAGAGGTGATTCCTTGCATTCTAAGCAAAAAAGTTCATTATAACGTATGTCCGAAAATCAGTAGTTTTCGAGGAAAGTGAGTCGTAAATAATTAAATTTTCTCAAACATTTGGCAACGCTGCAGCGCAACCGCGATACGAGTGCGCGACGACTGCAACTTATTCATCGAATTGTTTACGTTTGTATGATATTTATATGCCTTGAATTATTGAATACTTTTACGCAACTTTTTGTGGCTAATATTTTTTATTTAAGAACGCGTTCAGTACAGTACACATTTACTTGCAAAAAAAATGACAGACCTTACCGGTACGTGCTAATGCACACCACCAATTCCCACTTATTTGAAACGATACGATGCACGAAAAAAGAAAAACCAACATCTGTAAATCACATAAAGTTAGAGTTAAATGTATTAGTGATCACAACAAAACGCGATGATACGAGTAGATCCACTTCAGGCGGAATACGACGTTGCCAGTTGTGTGAGGGATTTTGTTTGTCTGTTTTTCTTCGGAAAATTGTATTTCATAATCAAAAAAATTATTTTGTTAGAGACAGTTAATTGATAAATAGATGTATTGAACGTAATGAATATGGAAACAAAATAAGCTATTTTTCTTGCATTTCCATGTAATTATCCCAAAGATGTGTGATTATCCTGAAAAATTGAGATATTCAGTGTTTTGTATGATGTAAAATTAAAGTAACAAAGTTATAGCCCTTTGGAAGTTTGAGTACCGCCCAGTCTCAATAATAATAATATGTGCTCGTGTTTGGCAACAACGGATATAATCCGCCTTATCGGTTCATCGCATCGGAAACAAAAAAGCGAAAGAATTTGGAACGATGTTTTTAGAATTATTTTATTCAGTTGTATACAGTCAGTGTCAGTCGGTAACGCGTGAGTGAATAGTGGTGTCTGTTGCGTGGCTCAAACGAAATCAAAACTGGCACATGTTTACGAAAATGCTGAACTTGTGGACATGATTCTTATTTACGTGGCATCACGAATTTATGCGGATCGGTTTCCCAATCGAGTGCAACCAACCCCTCGTGCCTTTGTTAATGTAGTATAAAGGGCTCGTGAATCAGGTGACTTAAGACCTCACAGGGGAGGGCATGCCGGTGCTCCAAGACCGCACGATCAAATACAGGACCGCACTGAAATACTTGTCGGGAGGATACTTTATAAAACAAGGTAACATTTTTTTTTTATTTTTACACACATATTTTGGTTTGGCTACAATCATTATCTGAAAATTAATGACTCAACTTCAAAGTTACCCTGTATGTAACCATGTCTCTCATTTCCGACGGTCTGCATTTCCGCTAATCCGGATATATTGTACTTTTCCGGATATATTGTACTTTGAAATGGTCAAGTATTTTCCATAGGTTAAATCGTTAAATTTTGATTCTTTCGACATAATTTTTCGTAAAGACAAATACGATGCATTGTATTCAACTAAATTGATGAAATATCGTTAATTATTTTTTTCAAACAGTTTGCATTTTGTCGCTCATTTAATCTGAAAGGTTGCGGCCACTTTTGTCCTTTGAAGGGAGATTGAGACAAGCCTTATTTATAGCTTTGCTTTGACTTTGCTTCATAGCGGAACATCCTTTAGCCCTTTGCGATCATGGAAGGAAGCAGGCGGGAAAATAGTAACGGGATTTGAGATGCTTCGGAATTTTTCATTGCGATCCACGTTGCGTTCGTTTTTTAAGGGGCTTCAAACGGAAGTCTCTGATACTGCAAGGCGGTATTTTACTCTGAACATGGGTTGCAGCTGGTAATATTTACTCTTCAACCAAAATAGTTCTTTGTACCAAATTACGCATTACGTGTTCGACAATATTTAGATCAGACGTTTCCAGATTGATGGATTGGAAGAAGAGGTACCATCGAATGGCCCCCAAGATTACCAGATATATCACCTTTGGATTTCTTTATGTGGGGTCATTTAAAAAGCAAAATCTATGCTACTCAGCCAACATCATTAGAAGACCTGCGACAAACAATTGTGAATGCGTGCCTTCAAATTACTCCTCAAATATTGCAAAATGTGCGTCAACGTTTTGAGCAAAATCTTTATTATTGCATGGAGAGTCATGGTGGCCATTTTCAACATTTACTTGCCTAACGGTTCAGTTCATTCATGTTTAAATTACTTTGCTGCCAAATGTATTGATCTCCACTAATAAAGGTGTATTAGTTTTATTTAAGCTTTAAATCGATAAATCTTCAAAACTACTGAACTGAAGTACATTAATTTTATATCATTATAAAGGGAATTGAAAGACCTTTAAAATAAGGTATCACTCGACCCCCCTTTCCATTTAAGATTTTAGGGTTGTTGTCACCCCCGCCCAGGGGGCTGCACGTGTTATTGTGATTTTGTGTCCCCTTCGAAAACAAAATCGGCGGGTCTGAGCGTTTTTCCAAAAAAAAAACTGAGCAGCCAGTAAATGCGTCTGTTTCGTTTTCGATGCGCCACCCTGTATATTTTATTAAATCCAATCTATATTTGGATGTCCTGTTTTTATCAAACTTGTTGACTGTAAGTCACAAAAATTTATTCGAAATGCTATACTTAACATCAGATAATATACATTTATTAA